GCAGATATTTTTAAGAGTTCTACCTCAAGCGGCCGTAGGATAGTTAACANGCTTTTATATCTACGCAATACGATACAAACTAATGACTCATGTACGCTAATACGATTGGCTAAAGCATCTACAATCACGTGTTAAATATATTACAACGCCCGCCAATTTTCCAGAGAGGTAAAAGAAGAAAAAGCTATATACGATTCTTTAATGGCAGTAGCCATCCTTGCTTATCTTCATTATGTATAATTATAAATTCGCCGATCTTACCAGTTGTTCCTTTTATTTTTGACTAGTCAATCCTGTAATATTTCTGATACGTGCCAGGGAGATTAGTAAATAGGATAATAGTGATGTAGCTCCGTTAGCTAGATATTTTTAAGAGTTAATTTATTCTACCTCAAGCGGCCTTAGGATAGTTAACAGCTTTTATATCTACGCAATACGATACAAACTAAAGACTCATGTACGCTAATGCGATTGGCTAAAGCATCTACAATCACGTGTTATATATATGTTACAACGCCCGCCAATTTTAATGGCAGCAGCCATTCTTGATTATCTTCATTATGTATAATTATAAATTCGCCGATCTTACCAGTTGTTCCTTTTTATTTTTGACTAGTCAATCTACAGAACTATAAATTGCAAGCGTAGTAGATAATTTTATTGTCTGATTTTCACGTTAAGATAAATTATTTCTTGTATTACTTCACTAATTTATGATATTGCATGAGCATATATAAGTAATAGACTGTATTAACTATTATACCTACATTTTAGCCAGAAATAAATCGACGATCTTCAACGTATCGTTATGGTGATAATCATTAAAAATTAACTTTATCGATGCATAGTATGATTATAATCGAAACAGCAAACTGCTTAATCACCTGTTTCCGTTATCTAAGCCAATTATTATTCATGCCAGTTCATTAAAACTGACTTGTGTATCTCCCAATTAATATGATCCAAAAATTATCTAGTCAAGTTTCACACATCAAGGATAATTACTTTCAGTTTTCTACCGTCGTTACTTTAAAACGAGAACATCAACCGTCGATGGCTTAGGTTTTGTATATTTATTATTACGAATCTCTATAATTTCTTCGCCCTTTACCGCATTTAAGTTTGCTCACATCGCCTTATTACAATATGCATATGCATGATCTATTTTCAGCTATGAATAGCCTGAAGGATCTTTCCCTAATTATGACATAATAAACTATGCAGGCACTCTAATACAACATAGCATGCAGCAGCTATCTCAGGCTCTATCGAGTATCATTGTTACAAAAGACTTATAACAGAAACCACTGAACTAAACCCAGAAATCTAGGTTAAACACACTGCAATGCTGTAGAGACTAGAGACTAGTCTTCAACCGGCTAATGATACCCGCAGCAGGCGTACATTACATTACTGAATTGCTGAAAGGGTTGCATTAATTTAGTATCCGTTTTTCTAAGTTCGTATGAGGCAATAACATGGTATCTAGTACTATTTACAAGAAATATCTCATGTTAATGAGCAGAAATGGAATAGAGTCTAAGTTTATTTCGATTGCTAGCCTGAGGCATCAATTTTTCTGCTTTACTTTTTAGTAATGCAATGAAATAGTTATGCTCATCAATACTCATTTTAGCCAATAGAGCAACTCTTTCCACAAGACGTACGCTTTATAAATAATATAATGACTGAAAATAGACATCAGTCAGAATCTTGGGTATATGAGATAGACGTTACGAACTCATGCTTATTGTTAGATTAGCAGGTAGCTACCGAAATGGTTAGAGGGCGACTGGAAACGAAAACGCAAACAATTTTATTCAGCTAAAAGGAAGTGCTAAGGATGGCATTTATAAATAATTTCCCTAAACAAGTGAAGCCGATAGTAAATCATCTTGCTTTTTAGAAATTGAATAAGTGATCCAAATTTTTTTATTTACTATTTGTGGCGTTTTCCGCTAACTATCAGCAAGCTTTTGCAAATATTTTCAATGAAGCTTTAATTTCATACCATACCTATTACATTTAAAGTATTTCCTTGTAGCTGTTGATTAAGACATATGTCGTGCTTACGTGGGTTTTAATTACATTATACGATAATAATGATTAAATCATCTTAAATAATAAAATATAAATAAATAATAGATTATAGAGTCAAGTACAATAGCGTTATAGACGATTCGATAAGAACACCTGTTGTACTCTAATCACTTTCATGTCCGCTAAGATAGGATAATTAATTATTGCTAGTGTATCCTGTTATCATCCTAATTTATGCTTAACTGTAGCAAATCGTCTATTGAAAAGGATTATAATTGATTTTAAGCTTAGGCTAACACATTGAACTAATACAGTAATATATTCTGACCTATATCATATATCCTGGAGATATTTAACGCTTGCAACAACAAAGTTAATTAATATCCACGTCAAATGCTAGATCCTAATGTACAGTATCAGACATTAAATGAGCCTACAATTTCTATGTAATATACAAACGTTTTATTAAACAATTAGACTTTTCGTCATCTCGATTGCAGTATAGCTTACTCAGCTAGTCTAATACAACAGTAGCAGACTGCTCTATTTAGTTAATATTACTATTCAAGATATTTTAAAAGATTATCGTAATATCTACCATGTTACATTGTACATATTAACTGGATTATTGCACTACAAGTATAACTTGCTCAGCTATTCTACTACCACAGTATCAGACTGCTCTATATATTTAATAACACTATTCCAAGATACTTTATAAGATCATCGTATTACTCATCGTGCTAGAAAGCATATATATAAACTGGACCATATCGTCTATTTAAAAGTAATTGATTCAAAACCTAGGCTAGCATATCCAACGAATAAAACAACATATCTTGACTTATGTTATATCCTGTAGATATTTAACGCTAGCAACAACAAAGCTATTTGATATCCTCGTAGAATGCTAGATAGTAGTGTATCAGATACTAAGTGAGCCTTAGATGAAGTGTTTTTTGAAATCTATTTGGTAAAGTTAATCTGTTTCTAACATTATATCCATAGCAAGGATAATTACTCTAGAAGAATTGTCTATTACTAAAAGTTCAACAGATAGATTGATGACTTTATAATTTTTAAAACATTGATTGATTGATTGGAATTATGAGGCATTTAATCAATTCATTCCAACAAACTATTACAACATGCCATTTAAAATCGATCTACCTTACTTGTAATAAACTCTATCAATCTAAGTATCTATTGAGTTCTTGAATAATACTAATTGGGTTCACTTAATCACCCTCTACAGCTACTACATCATGTTACAATCGATAATATATTTTCTTATTTTCTACTGTTGGATACTATTTTCTTGAATAAGAATCGATTGAATTGGTACATTTCCTTCCACAGTGGTAATAGTAGTGAAATGATTTAACTTTGAATAAAAAAAATGGCATTTACAATGATTTTAGCTTTTACACGTTATTATTGGGTATTATTGGTTCCGTTATAGAAGTAGCCAGTGACCGGGGTGGATTTGCTACATCAAAATCTCTATTTATAAAATATTTGGGGGAATGTTAAGCAAAGCATAATGGTCCTGTGCAACAGTTGTTAACCTATTTCTGGCTGTAGTAAGCTTTCTAACCACTACTATTACTAATTGCCAAGAAATGCAAAAAAAGAAAGTGGAGATGGGAATGCCGTTCTTTCTTTCTGAACGTAGGATTGATACAAGTCTATTTTATATCATTTAGTCATTGCATTCAAGAAATTTAAAACGAGAATAACCATACACAAGTATAGTACATGATAAGCAGATTGACAAACTTCATTATCACATAAATGGATGCTTGTTACCGACAAAGGTTGGTAACAATATCCATCTTCAACGAAATACAAGCATTTGAATTTACTAATATCCATATATAAGTATAATGGATATGTTAAAAATATTTAAGGTAGTTGTTATTACATTATCATTGCACTTGCAATGATATCTATTCAAGTGATAATTTCAAGAAATAAACGTTAAGATTATTTCAATCTTTTCTCATCGCTTCATTAACTTTTTAACTTGAAATATTGGTTGATATTTACTTCCAACAGCAACGACTATGCTGAATTAAACATATTTAACCCAACCTTCAGTGTTTTCGTACATTTGAATTTTCTTCAATTCTTCTGGTGAGCTTACTATCCAAATATCGAATGGACTACCAGGGATATGAACATCCGACCATTTTATATCAATTTTATAATGGCCAATTTCCGTAGGATTATATCGGACATCGATTAAACGCTCCATTTCAGGATTACGTGACATATAAACTGCAAAGCCTCCTTTAGGTCCATAAATGCGCACTCTTAATATTCCTTCTCCAGCAGTGCGTGTATCGACAACAAAATTGCCATTGAATCCATCCAGAATATCGCTACAAAGTCCAGGTCCTTCTGCACTTACTTTACCCGCATTGGGTGGACGCGTAATACGAGATGTAAATGGACTACCTTGAATGGGCTGATCGTTATAGGAAACAAATACTTTATGTTTACCAGTTTCGTTGGGAAAATATTGAATGAGATAGCTACCATCCTTTTGATCGACAATCTCATAATCAGCATCGGTCTGTGGCCCAACTACCTGGACTTTTAATTTACCAGGACCAGCTTCGATCGTGTTGACTGTAAATTGGACAGGATCACCTAAATTACCTTCGCGTAAACCTTGGCCATAAGTCTGGATTTTATTAGCACCACCTTGTTCAACATTAATTTTAAATGGACTACCAGGTATATGATCATCAGCCCATCGAATATTTAATAAATAAGCGCCAGGTTTACTTGCGCGATAAGATAGTATAAAATTTCGATCTCCTTCTTCTTTCAAAGTGAGCTTAGGCTGTTCATGCACTCCATGCATATCGATCCTTAATTCACCTTGGCCAGCTTGACTAGTATCGACAGAAATGAAATTTTCTTGATTAGCAAGAGCATAAGATAGGCCTGAGCCATTAGCTTTGCATTGGCTAGCATCTGTTGGATAATCGACAGCAAATGGTTTTTTATCCACGATATTATAGCCAGCATACTTGACACTAAGATAATGGGTGCCAACATGTTTAGGATAGAATACTGCCATCCATACAGGGCCAACTTCGTCTAAGTTGTAATCGCATGGATTATGATAAGAATCTAGAATGATTACTTCTAGTTTACCTGAACCAGCTTCTTGCGTACGAATTGGAATAATTGTTTTACAGTTAATTACTTTACCGATCATTTCATCTAGGACAATTTTACTTGGATCGACGACTTTAAACATCAAAGGGCTACCAGGTATTTCTATCCCATGACTACGAAATTCAATCAGGTAATCATCACTTTTAGACGGACAAAACTGAATTCGATATTCATTTTTAGCTTCTTCATTGCCCACAATGGTTAATGGTGTACTTAATTGTGATAATTTAGCTACAGCGGTAAAATCTGTAGCAGTAAAATCTTCATCAGCGTATAAGACGATATTAATAACATCATTAGCCAGGTGAGGAGTATCTAAATTATTTTTGCATTCTACACGTAATGATTTGAAATTTAAAGCAGTAAATTCAAATGGTGAACCTTGTATATCCGATTGATCCCACTGCACTGTTGTTCGATATCGGCTGGGTTTTAACGATTTACCATTAAATTTAACGATATACTTTCCGTCTGAATTGTCATTGCTTATATCAGCTGGTAAGATTGTTTTATCATCCTCTAAATCCAATAGAGAGGCAGTTAAGGTAGCTCGGCCAGATTGGCTTGTATCGACGCTTAAGCATATATCATGATCGGTAAGAACTCGCTTGGAAGGCAATAGATCAAAGTAGCATTTCTTGGAATCAATAGGTTGATCAATTCGACATGTATACGGTACTTTAGAAATGGGAAAGCCACCATAAGAAATGTTAATATTATAATTGGATGTGGTTGTTGGAACAAAAGTGACGTAATAGCTCATTAATTCTTGATCGATTCTGACCGGAATAGATTGTTGATCTGCCTCGGAATAGACACTGACTACAAGATCGCCATCGCCTACCTCTTCAGGGACCTTAATGGTAAATTTACATGGAAGATTGATGTGCCCTTGATAAATTCCATCACCTTCTACCATAATCTTGTCTAAATTACAAACATTGGCTGTAAAAGGGCTACCAGTAATGGCTGCACGATCCCATTCCACTGCAATGGTATATAATCCAATCTTGGATGGGGTATATTGAATTTGATGTTCTCCATCGCGCTGTGATACGATATAATCGACCGATTTTCTATCAGGATCATGTACTTTTACTGCTAATTCTCCATGACCAACCGTATGGACAAGAAAGCAAGCAGATCGTCCAACACATGCTTGCGAAAGTCCATCTCCTGCTGCTGTAACTGATTTACTTTCTCCTCTCACGACGATGTTAAATGGACTGCCTGGCAAATGTTTATCCCGATAGCGGACTTCGATAGTCCAATCGCCAGCAATGGTTGGAAAGAAAGATGCGAAAACTTTACCCTTGCGATTGTCATTCAAGTTGACAGGAGCTTGTATTTTTTTGCAATAGGCATTGATGACTAGATTTCTACTATCTAAATCACTGGTTAAATTAACTATGAATTCAGCAAAATTGTTCTTTGAGCCTGCATTTACAATAGAAATTAAGAGAAGAGTAGTATGTTGCAATTAGTATGCTAGGTAGTTCTGAACTTTTATTGGTTCAATTTATACTACACCTTTAGAATATTGCTGAATAAGTTTAACCTTAATCACATCCTATCTAACGAAATAACTAACTGTTTAAATAGAATTAATAACTCTAATTTGTGCAATTTCAAGAATTACTATCAAGACTGTACAAAATCGAACGAAATAACTAGTGGCTGAAATGGATAATTTATATCATTTCAAGAATTGCTATCTAAACTGTACAAATTCCTTCATGAAGAAAAACAACAAGTGTGCTTACCTTTGACTATTCCAGGACCTTGAACAGTACATTCTCTCAAATAATCAACCATCGATTTACAATTACGAAACATGGTTAAATAGGTTAATAATGGGAATTCATCGACAGCATCGGCTTTAATTAAACTACTCGCTGCGAATAATGGCTTAATACCGAGTTTCTGTTCGGCTCCAGTAAGGGCTAAAAGATAACGGTGAGGACAGTTAAGATCAATATTTAAAATAGTGTTAGTAAGATGATTAGATAGAACTCGACAGCATCGCTTCAGAGCTTCCTTATACCTTATTTACGGCATAGTAAAGGTTACCATATCTGACGGTAAAGAATGCTAAAAACTTACCTAAATTAATTAACTGTTCCGGCACCGCTTCGGGTGGAGGTGGTCGAGCAGCTCCGGGATAGATTGCATTGACAAATTCATGTAGGACTTTGCCATCTTTCCAATCAGTTGAAAAGTTTCCAACGTTTAATTCTTCTGGAAGATGACTATTTACAAATTTTAATACTTCTTGATAGCCAGGCGATTCTTGTGTTGATGTAAAATAAGATAGATAGGTTAGCATGCTAAGATCATCTAATTCAGGGCTAATTAAATCTTCCGGGGATAAAACTTGTGGAACACCAAGTTTCTCTTCGGCAATATTCATGCCCAATCGAGCATTGTTTAATCGATTGCGAGAATCTAAGCTAGTCCATTGAGGACAGACACCTGGTTGAATATGATCGACAAGGGCGCATAGTGGAATTCCTGTATTCCAATCTTTATTTAAATTTCGGACACGACAAGCTGGCATGATGGATTGAATCCATGTCATCATTAACGATTTCGCCGATGCTTTATGCTTGTCGCTTGAATCGGTCTTGACTTTAATTTGGTAGGTTAAAATTAGTCTCCATATCAGGCCTAAAATTAGTTTCAAGTTGCCATTGACGATATCTTCGTTCCCTATTTGACAAATGAGTAAAAATGCATCGACATTAATTACGTTACTATATTATTATTAAGCAATAGTAATGATCAAAGCAAAGTTGTTAAACGAGTAGTTGGGATAAGTTTGTAAGAAAGAATAATCTATGCTTGAAGATCGATATAGAATCGATATGGAAGATAGTCAACGAGTGATGAATTTCCTACTCTCCATCTCGGTAAAAACACCTGTTATCCATGTAGAAAATTGCAACCTTGCCATCGTTCAATCGTGCTATCTAAATTTCAATATATCGATGACTTAGTTCTAGATCATGCTGTGATAGATATTGATCGACTTTCTATCCAACCTATTTGAATAATACGTCTACTATTACTATTTACTTGGCCTTCTTTTTGATATTCATTTGAATGGACGTCAAGCCGTGATCGATTTTTAACCCCAATTACTTACAACTCTATACCAATGTATTACTCAAAGTTAAATATCGATGTTGATTAGTTGATAATATTATAATTAGTGGACAATTAGCTTACAGAAGAGATTAAAAATGATGAGCTAAAATAAACAAGGAGAGAAAAATAAATATTAGGGTCTAAATCTGTTGAGTTAATGCCTAGTCTGATTAAATAGATCACACAGTGGAGAATTAAAGCGAGGATAAAAAATGTCCTGCTGCTACGCCTTGATCCCAAGTTGATCTCCATAACACCTGATGCTCGCGGCCCTCCATCTTATTCTCGTTCAAATATATATCGAATAATCACTCGTAGTATTACTAAAATCTTGCCAATTTCCTATCCACCCAATCACGATTGATCTACTAAAATGGACCCCTATAACTCCATCTATTCTAATGATCATCGGTTTCTATAATACAAGAGGCGAGCATTTCATGATTGACTCTAATTGAATTAAGGTGGTTCTGCTGGACGCCTTACAAGGAAGAAATGCAATGTTGATCCTATCTTGCCAACTCTGAGTTAATTAAACTGCGATTGATCTACTAAAATGATCATGTAAAACTTTATCCAATTCTAGTCATCGTCCTGCTGACTCTAACCTAATCATACAGTCATTGATCTACTATAATGATCATGTAAAACTTTATCCAATTTTAGTCATCGTTTTGCAGACTCTAATCTAACCATACAGTCATTGATCTAACGAAATGATGATGTAAAACTCGATCCAATTTGTGTTATCGTCTAGCCGACTCTAACTTAATCATACAGTCAATGATCTACTGAAATGATAATGTAAAACTTTCGTCTAGTTCTTGCCGATTCTAACCTAATCATACAGTTAATGATCTGCTTAAATGATGATGTAAAACTCCATCCAATTCTAGTCATCGTCTTGCCGACTCTAACCTAATCATACAGTCAATGATCTGCTAAAATGATGATGTAAAACTCCATCCAAATCTAGCCATCGTCTTACCGACTCTAACGTAATCATACAGTCCCGGATCTACTGAAATGATAATGTAAAAACTCCATCCAATTCTAGCCATCGTCTTGCCGACTGTAATCTAATCATACAGTCATGGATCTAACGAAATGATGATGTAAAACTCCATCCAATTCTATTAATCATGGGCCTGTATAAAAATCGAATGCCAGTATTTCATTACAGACTCTAATTTAATGACGGTAGTCCTATTAGACGTCTTTCATTTTATTCCAATCTTGCCCACTCTAGCTTAATGATAAAGTGATTGATCTGACAAAATGATCCTGTCAAACTTTATCCAAATCTAGTGATCATGGGTCTGTTTAAAAATCGAATGCAAATACCATATTTCATTATCGACTTTACTTTAATGACGGAAGTTCTATTAGACGTCTTACTAGGAATCAATTTTAATGTTGTTCCAATCTTGCCGACTCTAAACGAATCATCAGTTATCATGTAAACTCCATCATAAGTCGATCTTGAGGATAATGTCAATATTTCATCATATTCTCTACTCTCAGTGCTGTCATGGCGGTGAACGTTTAAGAAAAGGCAAATGGAACGTTTACTGAAAATGCTATAAAATCTAGACCATCGAAAGAGTCCATAATCCATGAAACCATGGCAGAAATTGCCATCAGGGTTCTATCTATCGTTTTTGCCGTTATATTGTGAGTATTTCATGGTGTTCTATCGTTCATTTCAAGACACTCCTTCTACTGAGCCAATCCAGCGTTGGTCATCAATTCTTGACTTAAAAACTTAATCGTTAATCCGATAAGTAATGCCATAAGCCTCCATCGATCTTTTTCATCGTTGGTCTATCAACAGCCTTGCGTGGGTACTTAAACCAATTCTCAATCCTTTAGCGAGTAGTGCTGTTATGATAGGTCGGTATTTGGGTAAGCAACAACTCCAATGATATTAAACTATCGCTCATTCTGAATCAATCTTGTGTTGATGGAATCGATCGATTTTTGCATACAAGCTGTCAAGGCATAATTAAACTCATCATGGTCTGCTTATAACTAAAGACTATCTTTAGGCACCGTAGCAGTTTAAACGAATACGATGGATAAAAATTGGGAGAAAGATCCAATTCAATTTAGAGCTCTTACTAATTTAAAATGAAATCCTAAGCTATCCCTTCTTGTACAAAGCAAGATGGTATCATCTTGACGCATCTATTCCTTGCTATAACGATAAAAGCAATCTTTCTCGATTTCTATTTCATATTGATTAGTGTATCTGTCTAGGATCCTTTCAGGAACATGGATGCAATAGCTATAAGCAGGGACATGTAGGACAATTTTTCCAACTCTTTCAAGCCTTTGCTACAACGCTCTAGTCTTCTACTTCATCAAAGTAATCAATCTCAGTAGAAGGTTTGAACATAAAATGGCGCTAATTAGTCCTAGCCTAATATTTCTGTGCGAAAGAGGAGAGTACTTCATTGAATATTGATGCATGGATCTGTCTAGGGTGCTTTCATCAACCTGGATGGAATAGCGAGAACCAAGATTTGGACGAGAATTTCTTCGAATCTTACAAGTGCCTACTGCAGTGCACAACGCTATCCAGCTGTCGTTCATTTTCCAACTAATAGTAATCTCCCTCCATGATTTCAACACAAAATGGTGCTAATCACTCATCGTCGAACACTTTAAGCCTGCAATCGGTTGGAATTGAGTAAAGTAAAATGGCTACGAAGATATATATCGTCTAATGTTGGCAAACTCAAGTTTAAACTTTTGGATATGATGTTGTAACGATAATTAATTAAGTAATGATGCTCGAGAAATTAGTTTACAGTCTCGTTTTTTTTTCAACATCATGAATGAGATGACTTGAATGAGACGATCAAATGTGCACCAGTTTAGCAGTAACCCTGACCCTTTTCTCGCTCTCTTTTACTGTAAAATAGGATGGTAGTCGATTGCAATTTACCAGTAGGATCAGAATAGTTAATTTGCCCGACTAGACAGCATTAATAGCTGAAGAAGTGAACTTTTACAAACTCTACGCTCACGGTAGTCCATGGCTTCCTACATTCATATCGAGGTCATTTTTCTCTTGTAGTCTATCGCTAAAGGTACAATCATTTTTTGCCTATTGCATGAGAATCTTATAAATATTAAACTAAAAGCATCGATGTTAATCCATTCGATCTTGAAGTCAAGGTATGAAGAAATAAATCATTGTCCAATTTAAATCAGTTTTATAGGATATTAAGTGGAAAAGAGGGGGAAAAAAAAAAAAATGGAACGATGGATCGATTCAATTTCAAATCGACTAGTCAATAAAACAGGGGTAAAATTGAAATATGCCGAGTCCTCAATCGATTTAACCTTCAATCAAGTCCTCCATCATGAGCTCCATGATGTCAAAAAGGAAAGAGTTTGAGATTGAACTATCTTAATCATAGTATGGCGTCTCTGTTTGCAGAGGAAATGAAAATTTCTATCCGATGTCATCGATAGCAACAAGATAAAACTACTTACCGATATTGACTAATTGGACTGTATCGTTAGCGATGGCTTTCAACGCTTTAGCCACATTTTCCAATTTTTGAGGCTTGTTCTTGACTTTACGATGATATCGACCAACTTTACGACCGGATAACGTTTCAACTAATTTAATTAGAACTATTCCATCTTCTAAATCCTTGGCTAAATCTTGGACCGTGGTACCGGACTCTTTTAAGTTATCATTACACCAATTGGTAAAGGTTTTCTGTTGAATTTTAGCCCATTTTTGCGCTTGTTCTGCCATGGTTGTAGAAAAACGTAAAGCAGCATCATTAGATGTATGACTATCCAAGGACGGTGTCGATTTTTCTTCATCGGATAGTGTTATTGCTTCTGATGAATCACCGATGGAAGATAGCCGATCGTCCATTTTCTCTTTGCCTTGTTCCTCCATGGTACTATCAACAACAGGATCAATTTCAGCTTGTCCGATAGGAAAGTTATCTCACTAGCACTCGCGCTAGGCCAACGGATAATTAGATCAATTAATGACCCACTGATTCAACAATTGCAAATCAAAAAAGAAAAAAGGAAAGAAAAAAAATTCAGGTGGATAGCAATTGCAACTTGCTGGACATTCACAATTTAAAAACAGTTTATTGTATAGCGTGTTTGCTTGCTTTTCCTTGATAAAATAATTTCTGTATAAAGTAATTAATGCTGACAATTAAGATATGCATCGAATGGGATCCAATAACGAAATGCCATTCCTCGTTAACCAAGTCAATTTATTCCTACTTACATCCAACTTCAATTGGCTAATAGAATGATGAAAATGGAGATTGGATTAGCAATTGGATCTTTCCAACAAGGACGACGTGTAATCCTGCAATTTTGGAGTGGGTTCTTGACCCAATTTTAATCTCCAATCGACCTATCTACCGATATCACGATGACAAGGATTCGATCGATTCGATCTGCTAAATTGAATAAGGATGAAGTTGTTTTCCTATGGAGAAAAGGATAAAATGAGAAAACGATCATGAAATGCTGAACAACAAGCCTTGAGAAAGAAAATGGCCTTGCAACACCGAAGCTGCATGGAGGCTAGCTAATAGACTTAAACTACCTAGAAGAATCATCAATTCATGCGCATCCTCCAGTAATATCCTAGGAAGGTAAGGACTATCTTCAATCAGTGCCGATCGAATAGTCTAACTAATATCAAGACTAGTTGTGATATGATTTCAGTAAGAAATGGCTATGCCAATCGGCATGGCAATTCAAATGGCGTCGTAAACTAGTCATTCAATATTGTTATTGTCTAGGACGCTTACAATCACTCCCATATTGCTGGATATCCATTGATTTAATATGCACATAAATTATCGCCATGGAGACCTACTATGGATTTGCATGGCATTGGATCATGTCATGGAAGCTTGGTCAATCAATCGAGAATGCTTTTACTCATTGGTAAGGTTAGCAATGGGAAGATGTCCAATAAACAAGATGGTAAAGTAAATCTTGATATACAAGTGATTATCACTTTCCAACATTCCAATTTGGTTAGCCATTTTGCAACGTTTCTGTCTAATTATTTGCTATAGAGCGATAGAGCAAGGCACGTATTAGGAAGCACAGTATAGCGTTGCATTAATCTTCAATAGCTTCATAATCGCTCTAATGCTTTTTGAGGAAAGTAATGCTTGCACATAGGTAGGTTTAAGATACTTATAGAGTGAGGTATGTATTAGGAAATACAGTATAGCGTTGAATTAATCTTCAAGAGCTTCATAATTGCCTCTATGCTTTTTGAGGAAAGTAATGCTTGCACATAGGTAGGTTTAAAGTACTTATAGAGCGAGACACGTATTAGAAAACACAGTATAGCACTGAATTAATCTTCAATAGCTTCATAATCGCCCTAATGCTTTTTGGGGAAGGTAAAGCTAGCACATAGGTAGGTTTAAGATACTTATAGAGCGAGGTATGTATGAGGAAACACAGTATAGCGTTGAATTAATCTTCAAGAGCTTCATAATTGCCTCTATGCTTTTGAGGAAAGTAATGCTAGCACATAGGTAGGCTTAAGATACTTATAGAGCGAGGTATGTATGAGGAAACACAGTATAGCGTTGAATTAATCTTCAAGAGCTTCATAATTGCCTCCATGCTTTTTGAGGAAAGTAATGCTAGCACATAGGTAGATTTAAAATACTTCTAGAGCGATAGAGCGAGGTACGTATTAGAAAACACAGTATAGCATTGAATTAATCTTCAATAGCTTCATAATTGCCTCTATGCTTTTTGAGGAAAGTAATGCTAGCACATAGGTAGGTAGGTTTAAAGTACTTATAGAGCGAGACACGTATTAGGAAATACGGTATAGCATCGAATTAATCTTCTATAGCTTCATAATTGCCTCTATACTTTTTGGGAAAAGTAATGCTAGCACATAGGTAGCTTTAAGATACTTATAGAGCGAGGTACGTATTAGGAAACACAGTATAGCGTTGAATTAACCTTCAATAGCTTCATAATTGCCTCTATGCTTTTGAGGAAAGTAATGCTAGCACATAGGTAGGTTTAAAATACTTAAATATCATATACTATACGCGATATGACGCGGCATTTTAAGGAGAAATCCTTATGTGCTTAAGCTATCGGAATTTTCATTTCTAATGGTTAGCTATCTCGACATCTAATTCTAGAATTTGAGGAAAAATGACCTATTGAACAACATCGCATATTCATTTAACCGACCTTAAATTGCTTTACCATTTACCTTCTTGCTTTTCAAGCAAAAACAAGGATAAATGGTTGTAAATTGATCCCATTTGTGATACTTTGTCTACATGGGCTGTTATAATACTGTAAATTTTTATATTAATACCGGGTATGTGTGATACTGCACATTGTTTCCTTAAGGATTTTTAAATTTGTTATTATAGCTTTGTCAGATTGTCAGCCATTTTATATCAATATTTAGTTATAGAATAGGTCGAGAATCATGTTTAAGAAAACGCAGCATACTATCGGAATGGAGTTTAATATCCGCCTTCATATATGAATGAAATAGTAAGATATACGGCTTTAGAATTTTGCTCTAATATCTAGTTATAGAACAGGTCGAGAATCACGTTTAAGAAAACACAGCATGCTATCGGAATGGAGTTTAATATCCGCCTTCATATATGAATGAAATAGTAAGATATACGGCTTTAGAATTTTGCACTAATATCTAGTTATAGAATAGGTCGAGAATCACGTTTAAGAAAACACAGCATGCTATCGGAATGGAGTTTAATATCCGCCTTTGTATATGAGGGAAATAGTAACATATACGACTTTAGAATTTTGCACTAATATCTAGTTATAGAATAGGTCGAGAATCACGTTTAAGAAAACACAGCATGCTATCGGAATGGAGTTTAATATCCGCCTTTGTATATGAGGGAAACGGTAACATATACGGCTTCAGACTAAATACAAATAACGTCTACTTTGTACTTGAGAGTAAATTGACGTTTACGTTATTATCATTTCCATTCTGAGATTGTTAATAATCCTTTTAAGTCAATGTCGAATTTTATAACCTATATGAAAGAATCAGGTGTGCGAGGGGACTGTAGCACAAATTATCAACGAGTTAAAATAGTTGGATAAAGGAAAAAAATTAAAATCGAACAAATGGTTATCAATGATATATTAAAGTTTTCGCCCAGAAAGACATAAAATGATCAAGTCTTATTAAACAGTAGTATATCTGTTTGATATTATTCTATGTGCAGATATAAAATAAAGCTAATAACTACAATAATGTTGAATTACTTTGTCAGATGTCTGTCCAAGAGTCAAGTACACTATAGGCTAGAATATCATTATGCATTATGTCTAAATAAAGATTCAATATATTTGTAGCCTAAGAGAAAAGAACTATAAATCTTTCAGTCTTTCAATAGTATCGCGATTGTATTCTGACAGTTGACTTTCTATGAATCTATATACATACACATAGGCCGTTAGCATAGGTCATTCTGTAAAATAATCACAGCCTTTTCTTAGCCATTCTCCAAGCATATTAAGTGTAATGTTCTTATTGTAATAGGTTGGGGAGTTGTCTATCAGTTAGTTTATTCCTTTGATTTATGTTAGTCTATTTTAGAAAAATGAAATCATTAGGCATGAAATATGAAACAATCAAGGCGACCATTGAGTAAATAATAGTCTAAAGATAAATAACAGGGTAATATGATGTGGTTAAAAGATAGAGAAGACCTGGACCCCCGCGAAAATAATAATATAAAAAAAATCATTTAAAGAAAAAAAAAGAGCCGTCGGCTTAGAAATGTTTTATATATTTCTTTGGCATATATGCTGACGCGCGCGAGAAGAAATGTAATAACAACTCTTTTGAGCCGACGATTTTATTTTTGAATTCTCTTAGTTAGTTATTATATACGAGATTCGCGATTGGTCCAGGTCTTCTCTATCTCTAATAAATCTAAATAATCTGTGAAGTTTATAGTCTATGTGGAACATACATTATA